GTGAGACTCTGTCTCAAAAAAAAAAAAAAAAGCTCAGTGTAGGTAATGTGGAAAATTGAGAAAACCATAGAAAGAAACTTACTGAGAATCTGATCATCTGAATGAAGACAGTTTTTCCTATTTTTACTTTTTTAAAACCTTAATTGGCCTACTCGATATGCAGCGCCTTTTTTTATTTGTTTATCTTCAGGCTTATTCATAAACGTAGAATTTTTAATGATGGGACAGGTAAATTGCAAATCTGCACTCGTGGACTGAAAACAGAAAGATTTCCTTTTCCTTTTCCTTTTCCTTTTCCTTTCGACAGAGTCTCACTTTGTTGCCCAGGCTGGAGTGAGCGCCGTGGCGTCAGCCTCGCTCACAGCAGCCTCCACCTCCTGGGCTCAAGCGATCCTCCTGCCTCAGCCTCCCTCCCGAGTAGCTGGGACTACAGGCATGCGCCACCATGCCCGAATCATTTTTTCTATATTTATTAGTTGGCCAATTAATTTCTTTCTATTTTTAGTAGAGACGGGGTCTCGCTCTTGCTCAGGCCGGTTTCGAACTCCTGACCTCGAGCCATCCTCCCGCCTCGGCCTCCCAGAGAGCCGGGATGACAGGCGTGAGCCACCACGCCCGGCCAGAAAGATTTTCTGAAGTGTGTTGATCATTTTCTTAAATGCAGAGAGTTCGTAGTTTGGGGTGTTTTGTTTGTTTTGGGTTGGAGGCTCAGTCGATTGCCCGGGCTGGAGGGAGTGCCGTGGCGTCAGCCTCGCTCACAGCAGCCTCCATGCAACTCCTGGCCTCCAGCGAGCCTCCTGCCTCAGCCTCCTCCCAAGTAGCTGGGACTACAGGCATGCGCACCACGCCCGGCTCGTTTTTTCTATATGTCTTTAGTTGTCTACCTAATTTCTATTTTAGTAGAGATGGGTCTCACTATTGCTCAGGCTGGTTTCGAACTCCTGACCTCGGAGCGATCCTCCGCCCTCGGCCGCCCTCCTGAGTAGCTGGGACTACAAGTATGGGCGACCATGCCTGGTTCATTTTTTTTTTTTTGAGACAGAGTCTCGCTTTGTTGCCCAGGCTAGAGTGAGTGCCGTGGCGTCAGCCTCGATCACAGCAACCTCAAACTCCTGGCTCAAGCGATCTCCTGCCTCAACCTCTCCGAGTAGCTGGGACTACAGGCATGCGCCACCATGCCCGGCTGATTTTTTATATATTATCAGTTGCCAATAATTTCTTTCTATTATAGTAGAGACGGGTCTTGCTCTTGCTCAGGCTGGTTTGTTTTTTTTGTTTGTTTGTTTTTTATTTTATTTTTTTTTTTTGAGACAGAGTCTCGCTTTGTGCCCAGGCTAGAGTGAGTGCCGTGGCGTCACCCTGGCTCACAGCAACCTCAAACTCCTGGCTCAGCAATCCTACTGCCTCAGCCTCCCGAGTAGCTGGGACTACAGGCATGCCCACCATGCCCGCTGATTTTTTGTTATATAGTATATATTTTTAGTTGGTCAATTAATTCTTTCTATTTTTGGTAGAGACAGGGTCTCGCTCAGGCTGGTTTCAACTCTGACCTTGCAAGTCCCGCCTCGTTCCTCCAAGTGCTAGGATTACAGCTGACCACCCGCGCCCGGCCTCAGGCTGGTTTTGAACTCCTGACCTTGAGCAATCCCACCTGCCTCGGCCTCCCAAGAGCTAGGATTACAGCGTGAGCCACCGCGCCGGCTCAGGCTGGTTTTGAACTCCTGACTCGAGCAATCCGCCCGCTCGGCCTCCCAAGAGCCTAGGATTACAGCTGTGAGCACCGCTCCGCTCGGTTCATTTTTTCTATATATTTTTAGTTGGCCAATTAATTTCTTTGTAGTGTGAGTAGAGACGGGGTCTGGCTCTTGCTCAGGCCGGCCTCCAACTCCTGACCTCGAGCGAGCCTCCCGCCTCGGCCTCCCAGAGTGTCGGGACGACAGGCGTGGGCCTCCGCGCCCGGCCTAAAGTGGAATATTTAACTACAGGGAAGCTAAATTGCGAATCTACTTGCACAAACTAAAAAACAGAAAGGTTACCCGAAGCGTGCTGATCGTTTTCTTAGACGCAGAGCGATTTCCCAAACGCAGGCCACTGCGCGCAGACCCCCGGGCCCGCCCCCCACGGGTGGCTCGCGTGCGCGCCCGTGGCGGTCACCGCGCCGTGTCTGTGTCGCAGGAAGCACCAGGACGACAGGAGGTTCGCCTGCCCCGTGGAAGGCTGCGGGAAGTCCTTCACCAGAGCCGAGCACCTGAAGGGCCACAGCGTCACCCACCTGGGCACCAAGCCCTTCGCCTGCCCCGTGGAAGGTAGCGTGGGAAAGCCTCCCCTGCACCCTGCCCCGTGGAAGGTAGCGTGGGAAAGCCTCCCCTCCGCCCCTGCCCCGCGTCACGCCCGTGTCCCCAGCGGGACACGCGGTCCGGGGCCCCGATCTCACGCCGGCTGGGCGCCTGCAGCGGGCCCGGGGGACAGGCGTGACGGTCACACCCGCTGGGAGGTCGGGCCCTGCTGCTGCCACCGCCGGCTGCGTCATTGTCATTTAGAGTCCCCCGTCTGATGCGCTGGTGGAGAGGGTCGGGGGACACGGCACGTGGGAAGTGCCCGGTGTTTTTTTTTGAGGCAGAGTCTCGCCCTGTCGCCCGGGCTGGAGTGAGCGCCGTGGCGGCAGCCTCGCTCACGGCGGCCTCCGACTCCTGGCCTCAATGGAGCGAGCCTCCCGCCTCGGCCTCCTCTTTCCCGAGTAGCTGGGGCGACAGGCATGCGCCTCCACGCCCGGCTCGTTTTTTCTATATGTATTTTCAATCGTCCAAGTAAATTAATTGGTCTCTGTTTTTTAGTAGAGACGGGGTCTCGCTCTTGCTCAGGCTGATCTCGGACTCCTGACCTCAAGCGAGCCTCCCGCCTCGGCCTCCCTCCCGAGTAGCTGGGACTACACACATGCGCCTCCACGCCCGGCTCATTTTTTCTATATATTTTTACCTGGCCGAGTAATTTCTTTGTGTTTTTAGCAGAGACGGGGTCTCGCTCTTGCTCAGGCTGGCCTCAGACTCCCGACCTCGAGCGATCCTCCCGCCTCAGCCTCCCTCCCGAGTAGCTGGGACTCCAGGCATGCGCCGCCACGCCCGGCTTGTTTTTTCTGTATATTTCTAGTTGTCCGGCTAATTTATTTCTAACTTTTAATTTTTCTTTTATATGTATATTTAGTTGGCCGGTTCATTTTTCATTTTCATTTTTATTAAATATATTTTAAAAATGTAAATTTACAACATTTAATATATTTCTTTCTCTTCTATTTTTCTTCTTCCCAGTTCAATGAAGCGGTCAATTAATTTCTTTCTATTTTTAGTAGAGACGGGGTCTCGCTCTTGCTCAGGCTGGCCTCCGACTCCTGACCTCGAGCGATCCTCCTGCCTCAGCCTCCCTCCCGAGTAGCTGGGATGACAGGCATGCGCCACCACGCCCGGCTCATTTTTTCTATATATTTTTAGTTGTCCAGCTCATTTCTTTCTATTTTTTTTAGTAGAGACGGGGTCTCGCTCTTGCTCAGGCTGGCCTCCAACTCCTGACCTCGAGCGATCCTCCCGCCTCAGCCTCCTCTTTTTTCTCTATATATTTTTAATTGTGCAGCTAATTTCTTTGTATTTTTTTTTCAGTAGAGACGGGGCCTCGCTTTTTCTTGCTCAGGCTGGCCTCAACTTCCTGAGCTCAAGCGATCCTCCCTCCTCGGCCTCCCAGAGTGCTGGGACGACAGGCGTGAGCCACCGCGCCTGCTTTTTTTGACTTTGATTCCTGGAGATGCCACTGCTCCCGGGGCCATGGGCCTGTGTCCCTCGCGGGTGGCCGGGCCTCGCTGCCCCCACCGACCGCGAGCGTGGCTCTCTCCCCCTCTCTCACCCGCAGGGTGCTGTGCTCGGTTCTCCGCTCGCAGCAGCCTCTACATCCACTCCAAGAAGCACGTGCAGGACGCGGCCGCCCCGAAGAGCCGCTGCCCCGTCCCCAGCTGCGGCCGGCTCTTCAGCACCAAGCACAGCCTCAAGGCCCACGTGGCGCGCAGCCGCCGCCTCAAGTCGCGCGCCCGGCCTGGGCTGCCGGGACCCGCCGTGCCTCCCCTGCCGTCTCCCCTGCGTCTCCCCTGTCCTCTCCCCTGCCGTCTCCCCTGCCGTCTCCCTGTCTCTCCTGTTCCTCTCCCTGCCTCTCCTGCCCTCTCCTGCTGCCCTCTCTTGTCTCTCCTCTGCCCTTCTCGTCCCTCCTGCCCTTTTCCTGCCTCTCCCCTGACTCTCCCCCTGCCTGCTGCTCTCCTGCTTCCCTGCCTCTCCGCATGCCCTCTTCCCTGCCAAATTTCCCTCTCCATGCCCTCCCTGTCCTGCCTCTCCCTGCCCTCCTTCGCTCTCCCCTGCCCTTCCCCTGCTCTTCCCCTGCATCTCCCCTGTCTCCCTGCCCTCTCCCTGCCCTCTCCCCTGCGTCTCCTTGCCTCTCCTGCCCTTCCCGGCCTCTCCCTGCGTCTCCCTGCCCTTCCCTGGCCCTCTCCCCCTGTCCTCTCCCCTGCCGTCCCCCTGCGTTCCTGCGCTCTCCCTGGCCCTCGTCCCTGTCCTCTCCCGCTCGTCCCCTGCGTCACCCCTGCCCTCTCCCTGCCGGTTTCCCTGCCTTCTACCTGTCCTCTCCCCTGCCTCTTCCCTGCCTTCGTCTGCCTCTCCCCTGTCCATCTCCCTGGCCCGTCCCGCCTGCTCTCCCTGCCCTCTCCCCTGCCGGTCTCCCTGCCCTTCCCAATCCCTACGTCCCCTGTCCTCTCCTGTCACTCCTCCCTGCCGTCTCCCTGGCTCTCCCTGCCTCTCCCCTGCCGTCTCCCTGGTCTCCCTGCTCCCCCATGTCTCGTTCCCCTGCCGTCTCCCGGGCCTCGTCGCCCATTCTCTTCCCTGCCCCTGTCCATGCCCTCTCCTGCCGTTCGTCCCCGTGCCCTCCCAGTCCCCTGTCCTACTCCTGGCCTCCTCCCGCTGCCCCGTCCCCTGTCTCTCCCCTGCCTCTCCTCCCTCTCCTGCCCTTCCCCCTGTCCTCTCCGGTGTCCTCTCCCTGCGTTCCCTCTGCCTCTCCCCTGCCTCTCCTGCCTCTCCCTGTCCTCTCCTGCCCTCTCCCTGCCCTCTCCCTGCTCTCCCGTGTCTCTCCCGCTGCCTTCTCCCTGCCCTCTCCCTCGCCCTCTCCCTGCTCGTCCCTGCGTTCCCTGTCTCTCCCCTGTCCTCGTCCCCTGCCTTCCGCTGTCCGTCTCCCTGCCTCCTCTGCCCTCTCCCTGCCTCTGCCCCTGTTCTCGTCCCTGTCCCTGCTCCTGCCGTTCTCCCCTGTCCTGTTCCCTGCCCTCTCCCTGCCCGTTCCGCCTCGGTCCCATGCCCTCCCCGTGCCCTCTCCCCCATGCCGTCTCCCTGCCCTTCCCCTGTCTCTCCCGTGCCTCTCCCTGCCCTCTCCCTTCCTCTCCCTGCCCTCTCCCTGTCCTCTCCCTCTGCCCTCTCCGGTGTCCTTTCCCCTGTCATCCCCCTGTCCTGCTCCGCTGCCCTTCCCCTGCCTCTCCCCTGTCCTCTCCCATGCCCTCTCCCCTTGCCCTCTCCCATGTTCTCTTCCCATGGCCCTCTACCCTGTCCTCTCCCTGCCTCAGTCCTGTCCTCTCCCTCTGTCCTTCCCCTGCACTCTCCCCTGTCATCTCCCTGCCCTCTCCCTGCCGTCCCCCTGCGTTCCCCTGGCGTCGGGCCCCCTGGACCGTGCCCCCCTTGCTCTCTGGTCTCCCCTGTCTCATCCCCTGCCGTCTCCTGCCGTTCCCCTGCCGCTCCCCTGCCGTCTCCCCTGCCCCTCTCCCTGCCGTCTCCTTGCCGTCTCCCTGCCGTCTCCCTGCCTATCCCTGCGTCTCCTGCCGGTCTTCCCTGGCCTTCCCCTGCCTCTCCCTCCGTCTCCCCTGCCGTCCCATGCCGTCTCCCTGCGTCTCCTGCTCTCCCCATGCCCTCTCGCTGCCGTCTCCCTGCCGTCCCCTGCCGTCCTCCCTGCCGTCTCCCCTGCCCTCTCCCCTGCCTCTCCTGCCTTCCTGGCCGTCTCACCTGCCCTCTGTTCCCTGTCCTCTCCCTGCCGTGTCCCTCCTCTCCCTGTCCGTTCTCCCTGCGTCTCCTGCCTCTCCCTGTCCTCTCCCGATGCCTTCCCTGCTGCCCTTCCCTGCGTCTCCCTGCCCTCTCCCGCATTGTCCTTCCCACTGCCCTCTCCTGGCCTTCCTGCCGTGTCCCTGCCTCGTCCCCTGTCCTCGTCCCTGGCCGTCTCCCATGCCCTTCCCTGCCCTCTCCCCTGCCGTCTCCTTGCCCTCTCCCTTTCCTTCCCGTGCCCTTCCCGCCCTTCCCCTGCCTCTCCCACTTCCTTCCCATGCTCTCCCTGCTCTCCCCTGCCGTTCTCCCCTGCCTCCCTGCCTCTCCCTGCCTGCTCCCCTGCCTCGTCCTTGCTCTCCCGCCCTCTCCCTGTCCTCTCCCCTGGCCCTTCCATGCCCTATCCCCTGCCCTTCTCCCCTGCCTCTCCCCTGCCTTCCCCTGCCTCTCCCCTGTCCTCTCCCGGCTGTCCCTCTCCCTGCTCTCCCTGTCCTCTCCCCTGCCTCTCCTGTCTCTACCTGCCTCTCCCTGCCCTCTTCCCTGCCGTCTCCCCTGCCTCAATCCCTTGTCCTTCCATTGCCCTGTCCTGGGCCCTTCCCCTGCGGTTCCCCTGCCTCTCCCCTGCGTCCCCTGCCGTCCCCCTGTCCTCTCTCCCTGGGCCGTCTCCCTGCCCGTCTCCCTGTTCTCTCCTGCCTCGTCCTGCTCTCCCATGCCGGGAGCACGACTCTCCCCTTCCGTCTCCCTGCCTCTCCCCTGCCGTATCCCTGCCGTTTCCCTGCCCTTCCCTGCCGTGTTCCCCTGCCTCTCCTGCCGTCCTCTGCGTCTCCCCTGTGCTCTCCCTGCCTCCTCCCCTTCCGTCTCCCCTGCCCTCTCCTGGGCCGTCTCCCTGCCCTCTCCTGCCGTTCCTGCGTTCTCCCCTGCCCTCTCCCCTGCCGTCTCCCCTGCCCTCTCCCTGCCGTCTCCGCGTTCCCCGCTTTCCCTCCTCCCTGCCTCCCCGTGCCGTCTCCCTGCCGTCTCCCTGTCCTCTCCCCTCCTCTCCCCTGCCATCTCCCTGACCGTTCTCCTGCCGTCCCTGCCGGTTCCTGCCCGTCTCCGTCCTCTCCCTGCCCTTCCCCTGCGTCTCCCTGCGTCCTGCCGTCCCCTGCCGTTCCCTGTCCTCTCCCTCCCTTCCCTGCGTCTCCCTTGCGTCCCCTGCCGTCCCTGCCGTCTCCCCTGCCTCTCCCATGCGTCTCCCTGCGTCTCTGGCCCTCTCCCTGCGCTCTCCCTGCCCTTCCCTGCCGTCCCCCTGGCCGCTCTGCCGTTCACTGCCTCTCCCTGCCTCCTCCCTGCCGTCTCCTGCGGTCCCCTGCGTCCCCTGCGTCTCCCCTGTCCTCTCCCTGCGTCCCTGCCCTTCCCCTTGCCGTTCCTCTGCCGTCTCCCCTGGCGTCCCCTGCCTCCCCCTGCCGTCCCTGCCCTCTCCCTGCGTCTCCCTGCGTTCCCCTGCCGTCCCCCCTGCGTCCCCCTGCCGTCTCCCTGGTCCCTGCCTCTCCCTTGCCGTCTCCTGCGTCCCCTGCCGTCCCCTGGCGTCTCCCCCTGGCCTCTCCCCTGCCGTCTCCTGGCTCTCCCCTGCGTCTCCCTGCCCTCTTCCATGCCGTCTCCCCTGCGTCTTCCTGCCGTATCCCCGCCTGTCCTCTCCCTGGTCTCCTGCCTCTCCCGTGTCCTCTCCTGCGTCTCCCCTGCCCTCTCCCTTGCCGTCTCCCTGCCTCCCCTGCGTCCCCCTGCTCCCCTGCCGTCCCCTGCCGTCTCTGCGTCTCCCTGCGTTCCTGCCGTCCCCCTGCCGTCTCCTGCCCTCTCCTGCCGTCTCTGTCTTCCCTGCTCTCCCCTGGCCCTTCCCCTCCGTCTTCCCCTGCTCTCCCTGCCGTCTCCCCTGTCCTCTCCCCTGCCGTCTCCCTGCCTCTCTTTCCTTCCGCCTGCCGGTCTCCCCTGCCGTCTCCCTGCCCTCTCCCTGATCTCCCCTGCGTTTTCCCTGGTCCCCCTTTCGTCTCCTGCCTGATTCCCTGCCGTCTCCCTGCCTCCCCCGTTCTCTCTCCTGCGTTCCCTGCTTCCCTGCCGCTCTTCCTGCTCTCCTGCCGCTCCCTGCCCTCTCCCTGCCTATCCGCTGCCGTCTCCCCTGCCGGTCTCCCTGCGTCTCCCTGGCCGTCCCCCTCGTCTCCCCTGCCCTCTCCCCTGGGCGTTTCCCCTGTCTCTCCTGCGTCTCCCTGCCTTCCCGTATGCCCTCTCCCCTCCGTCCCTGGTCTCCCTCGTTCCCTGCGTCCCCCTGCCATCTCCCCGCCGTCTCCCCTGCCCTTCCCTGACCGCTCCCTGGCCGTCTCCCTGCCTCCCTGTCCTCTCCTGCCGTCTCCTGTCTCCCCCCCTCTCCCTCCGTCCCCGCCGCCCCTGGGCCTCTTCCATGCCCTCTCCCTGCGTCTCCCCTCCGGTCCCCCTGCCGTTTCTCCCCTGCCCGTCTCCCTGCCGTTCTCCCTGCCGTCC